CTCCTGTTTCCGTCTCAGTGGTGTTCTGCATTATTGGGTCACACCAGTGAACCCATCATGACAGGGGGTTTGGACGTCAGTTGAAGAGGTGCAGGTGAGACAAAGCTTTTTTAAATCTAAATGGAATACATCGAAAAATGTTGACCAAGAAAGAAATAAGGAATGCTCTTAAGATTGTTTTAGGAGTTTTCTTCAAAAATCCCATTCAAGGTCTGTGAAATAATTAATCAGTCGTGGTCTTTGCGCCACCGCAGACCCTGGCCAGCTGCTACCTCTCCTCAGCATTGGTGCTCTCTGCCTATCTAGAAAAAATCGGTCTGGATAAAACTAACAGTCATCCTGATCCCCCTCTAGGAGTAGGTGGTGTGTTCTCTCCAAACTGGTTCCATCTCTGGAGAATTTGGTGGATGCATACAAACTGATGCTGATGGCTTTGTTCAACTTTCTATAACATTACAAACTCCATGATTCAGACGATTACATCCTGATCTGAGTTGAAACTAGCAAGCAGATAGAAGCTCAAGCTCCTCCTATTTGATGACACAGTCTGTGGTATGCGCAGTGAAGCTGAGGTCACCTGTTTGTGCTTCTGAGATACATCATGAAATGTTTATACACATCAGGTAACTCCCACAGAATCAGCCAGATCAGCGAAAATTACTTCTGTCGGTGTGAGCCCACCAATGCGACCAATGTGTGTCACAATATGGTGGCAGGGGGGTACAAAGGCTGTGCATAAAATGAAATAGCAGCAAAATCAGAAGCTGCAAAGAGAGCAGCAAAGTAGAAATTACTTGCAAAAATGGCCACTGCAAATACATAAATAACATCCACACAATACACACGCAAAGAAAGAAAATGGTGAAAGTAGAAACAACTACAAGTTAAGAAAAGCAGAAAACTAGCTCCACATAATGAAAGTGCTCAGATCACTAGAGGGTGACAATTAACAACTGATATGATACCAAATCCTTAGAAAATGCATAAATGGGATGATCAGAAAATCTACTGTAAGTATTTTAAAAAGATTAACGGGAAAATGTACTCTTTCTTTTTTCCCCTCAGATTTCCCCTCATTGGTATCCTTTATATGTTTTCTTTTGTTTGATTAACCTTAAAAACTAAATTATTGATTTATATGAAGTTATATTTCTTATTTTTTGTCAGGGGAGATTTCTTTGATGTCCTCGAGATAAAATAGCAAACATCTGTGTGGGTGTTATCGCAGCTGTGTATAATAGTAAACTAAAGACTAATGAATACTGTCTATAAGCACATTGTCTCTTAATAACACCCCTTTAAAACCAGCCCAGCCAGTCCTTCTTCCCAGGTGTTCTGCGTTCACATAAACACATATTGGACTCTCAGCAGCATACTACACGTGGACATCCCTGCACACAAAGAAGAGTGATCAGGTGCTGGTACCTGTTAACATGAATACCCCTTTACAAAAGTCTATCAACAGTGCAATGTAAGGGAAAGATTGCTTTACCAAAAAATACTCTCCTTCGTGAACACAACATGCAAACACAGCACAGTGGGGATAGTACCATGTTGTAAGGATAATAACTCCCACTGCCTGGCTCCTCGTGTAAAGACTCTCTCTTGTCTTGGGGAATCAGAAGTAGGCCGAGTCTTTGGATGTGCTCATTTCAGATACTATCGCTGTGGATCATAGCCAAGGACATTTTAGCTTCAATTTGCCAAGCTTGGGACTTTCAGACATAAAGAATTCATCAGATT